TGAGTACCACACTACTGTAGTTGGAGTGCTATCAGAAATTAGCTTGTTTAAAATTAGTTTGGATATCTCAGCACTACAAACCAATCGTTTATATGCCTGCAGTGTAGACATGCATTTAGGTTTATGAATGCTTTGTTAGGGTGGAGCAGAGCAGAAGCTAGAGTCTCCAGCCAACTACAAGTCTACTTTGTCATATATCTCATTGTTATTCCTTAGATTATATGTTTTTTAAATAGTGTCTGGGCTATCACACTGTTGTTATCTGTGTTAATACTTTGTGGCTTGATTCTGAAGTGTCTAGCAGCTACAACTCCAGGTCTTGCTGTAATTTCCACTCTAACATTTAATTTGAGCAGTCAGCAGGGTGGAAGATTTTAGGCTTTGGAAGCATTTCATTTCACCTAATTGTTTCAAAAAAGAAGATAGGCATTGTTTGAAGAATTTGAGACCATAGAAAAGCCTTAGACAAGAAAAAAACCCAACCCCCTGAAGTATTATTATTTGTATTTAGAAGGGTATGACACAAACTGTCTGCAGGAAAAAAGGAATTTAATCCAGAGAGAATTTCTTCTCTGGATTAAAATAAAATATCATGTCAGATATATAGCACGTGGAGCTGTTTGGGACTGTCATTTTATGTAGGTAAAAAACCCTTAGCAGTTCAATTTTAGCTTTACTACCTTGGTGTCAAGACTGACTGAAATTGGGGTTCAATTCCTCAGCTTCACTGAGGTTTTGATAAATGATCCCACCCTTTTTCTGTCTTGAGTTCAAAATGAGATAGAATTTATTCTGGGTCTGGAAAATCCAAACCAAGGTTTGTTTAATTCTTGAAGTTGAGTAAGTGATAGGACTTGAGATAGTTAGGGTCCTTTTCAACTCTTTTTTCATTCCCATTAGGTATATTTTCCACCTTTACTGATTGCTGTGTTCAGCTAATCTGTCAATTTAACCAAAGCAACAATTTCACAATGTAGTTTTCTTTCTGATTGTGTGCTGTGTAATCAATATACTGATATAATGTGAGTGTAATTTCCTCTCTTATTTTATCTCCACTGCACAGTATTATAAATAAACAGCTAAAAAAGAAAAAAGAAAGAAAAGCACCAAACAAATCTGTTGCATCTTCTTTTAAGATTGTACCACTGTAGACACTTGTTCTAGTAAAGTAGAATTGGACCCACTTGATTGCATTTAAATTTTTCATGCTTCAGCAGTTTGTCTGGGAGCACAGTAAAGAAAACCCCCCGAGCGAGGATAGTTTAGAATAATAGAACTTGATTTTGTGTATTATAGCGGCACCATTTGCGCTGCTGTAGTTAGGGTTGTGTCAGCACTTCCATTATAAACCCCTGTTTGCAGGGGTTATAACTAGGGAGATATTTTTTATCAGAAACTTTTTTTAAAATCATTTGAGTGAATTTAATTGATAATAGAAAAAATAAAATAAATTATAATGGAAATTAGGAAATTTCTGATACCTTTTATAAGCCTTATTTATTATGAATATTGATTATTCCCACCCCCCTCTCAGGGATTTAGCAAATGCATTTTCAATATTTTAAATGTAAAATTGGGAAGTTATTATGGCTTAAAATTTGACTGCTATTCATACTCACAGTTTAACATTAAAGCATTTTAACACAACAACCTGTTCTATTGTTTAATGTTATCGTAAACATAAACTACTGAAACAGGGTAGATTCTTCTTCCTTTGAATTTAATGAGACGCTGGAGTCATTTGCCAATCTCTGCCTTTGGACTTTGTGGAGAACTGTGTACAGAATTCTCCCATTTAAGTAAAACCAAACAGGTAACAAGTGAAAAAAACCAGCATGTAGTAATTGACTAGTTAACACACAGTCACAGAGTTTGTATTTACTTCGTTGTTGCTAATTATAAACCCAGGCATAATCAATATTCGGTGCATAAACTGGCACCCTCAGAAGATGTGTACACATGAGGTATGCTGACTGAGTTAATGATTGTGCTGTGAAAAGAAGGTGAGGGTCTTCATCTAGCAGGGTCCTACATCTCTGTCCCTTTTACCACAGTGTTTAAAATCTAGCAACTAAAAACCTGAAAAGTACCATTAAGTGCTGCCTCTGATCATAATTAATGCACTAAACTTTGTTATTTTAGCAAAGGTTTAGGGGGAAAATAGAAATGAAACACACCCCTAAAAATTACATTATGAGGAGAGCAAGTGCCCTGGGAGGTCTGCCTGAGCTTGCTTTCTTTTCAGACTCCAGGACTACAGGTAACTGAGTAAAGTACAGTATGAAAATGTGTCTGACCATAATGCAGCAGTGAAGGAAAGGCATAAGAGGAGCTAGAAAACATCTGAACCCTGCTCTCTCTCTGTTTTCTTAGTGTACAGAAAAAACTTGCTGGCATGGCTTGAGATTATTAGTGAATGTGACTTTATGTGAATATTTTTAAGGTTAACAGAGTCCCCTTTTCTCTATGTAACTAACTTAAAAACCAGAACATGAATAGAGATTTTTATTTAAATGCACTTAAACGATCATGAATAAGAGGAAAGTATATTAGTGTACACGGCAAAGAAAAAATGCATTATCAGTAGATAGCTTCACTGAATGGTCACTTGAGGAAATACCAGAAGCCTGTTTATGAAATAGAGGTGAAGCCTTTCTAGACTAATTATATTCAGCATGTAATTTCTAAACTTCAGTCTGAATTTTGATTTTCAATTAACATTCCCAATTTGAAGATAATTTTCTATTTAATGTAATTGCAGGAAATAATTTATTGGCTGATTAAGACTGAGGGCCCAGCCTTCCTTAAGAAAACAGTCCCTAACAAACCAGCCTTTAAAGCCAGCTCATAGCTTTGGACAGATTCAGCCTATTTTTGCAGCTGCAGAGTTGTGTTTAATTAGGATTGTGCACTATTATTCATTGGTGCAGTTTGTAGTTGAAATTATTCTTAAGAGACATTTTCATTTCTAGTTTTGTGTCATGATTAATTTATGGTGAAGAAACAGCCATAGCTATTGCTTTTCACAGAAGCTCGTTCAGTTTGAAAGAGGAATAAGATCTGTTGAGAAGGTGAAAGAAAGGAAAATCCTTTATTGTGACTTTCAGTTTTCATGACTGGTTTTCAAATTGTATAAAGTGTTGACTTATATTTTTATGTGAGTGATTATATTAACGTAACCTTTAATGAGAAAAAGGAAAGTAAACCTTTTATTTTATCTTGGCTCATAGTAATTATGAACCAGAACCTTTTGAAGTACGTACAGTAATGCTGGTTGCTGAACTCTTGGCATATTCTCGGTAGCATCAACACAAATTCTTTAGTGTAGTAAGAATGTAATACATGGTTTAAATTCCTCGGTTCTGCTTATTGGCAACATTGATATTAGACTCCCACTTATACTTAGGCTCCCCTAAAGAAAACACAAACCTTTTTTTCCCTACCAGTATCGAGTTTAAGAGGCAGGATTATCTTTATTTACAGAATAGTTATTCTAAATAGGTATCAGTGTTTTAATATGTTTCAAAGCACTTCAAAGCTTGTAATACTTTCATATTGAACTGTACATAATTAGATTAGTTGATCCTATATTAATTTTTTTTTCACTGTAGGATACTAAATCTGAACTCCCTCATTAATTGTGAGAAATTTAGCATTAGCTGTTAAATCCTATGTGAAACACAGGCTGCTACATAAAAACTAATGTTTAAATTGGAATTAACTTAATTATTTTTCTTTGCACTTGATATTTCCTTCACTGTAATATTCATGAAAGCATGTGACAGATTTGTAAATTTAACTGTTAGTCTCAGATTTCCAGACCCTTTAATCAGTATTTATTTGTCTGTAGAAACAGTACTAGCAAGTTAATGATTTGCTAATTTGAAAAATGCTCATGTGGTTTCCTATGTTAACTGATTTGTGCATTTTTAAAGAAATGGTATGAAATCAATTATTGTTAAAAAGCAATTAAGGTGAAGATCTTATTCCTTAGTTTCTCAGCAATTTCAGTGCCAAGGATATTCTAAAGTTAGGAAAACCTGGGAATATAGCTAATATATTTTAGCTGTCTTCTTTCAGGTTTATTAATGATTGTTTTAACAGTTGCAGTTAATCTTATTAGAAATTTTAAACAAAGTGTTTTCAGATTTTGAGTAGAAGTCAGTTATATTTTCATCTAAGTGCAGAAACTGTGGTGAAAGCTGTGTTTGCATATGAGATGATAGTAAGAGGCCATTATTAGAAAAAGACATTTAACATAAATCAATGCATTTATTCATCACACTTTTAAGTCATTTAAAGTAATTTGTTGAGCTATATCCTGTACTCAGTGCCTAATATGAAATGAAACATAATTATTTTGGATTTTTAGTTCAAACTGTAAAAGATTACTCTGATATTATCCATCCATTCAATAATCTATTCCATTTTAGAGCACTTTTCATATGAATGTCTCAAAACACTTTCCAAAAGGTCAAACTGGGTAAAATTTTAAACAGGTTAAAAGCAGATACAGCTTTAAAAAAACAGTAAAAAGACTTATTTAGCAGATTTTGAAATAGATTTAAAAATGTGTAGAAACATCTTCTGCTTGCAAGGAATGCTGTTAAGAAAGCTTGACGGACTCTTTTTTCTAAATGTTTGCTTGTAACCTTCAGATTGCTCATGAGAGAATTGTTTAAAGATTTTAACTCTTATGTAAAATCAACATGAAAATACCAATAAAATCACTATCTTATGACTGGAGTAAATCATATTGTTTGACAAACGTAAATGAATAGAATGACATCGTATAACTTAACCCTGACCTTGACTTGGCATCAATGAGTACATTATCTCAGTTTTTTTGATCCAGATCCCCAAACCCTTACTTTTTAAAGTACTATTGTTGACCACGTATGATTATTTTTTAACTGTTGTAGGCAAGTGTGGTGTGTTTAGAGGACTGTTTTGAACTTTTTTTTTTTTTAATTTAACACCAATGTTTTCTTTTTGTCTGCTTTTCTTGTTTTGTAGAAGAATGTCTTCCAAGCAGGCTACCTCTCCATTTGCATGTGCAGCTGATGGAGAGGAAACAATGACCCAGGACTTAGCATCACGAGACAAGGAAGAGGGAAACAGTGATCAGCATGCGACCTCTCATCTGCCTCTACAAAATGTAATGCACAACAAACCTCACTCTGAGGAGCTACCAACTCTGGTCACAACCATTCAACAAGATCCTGAGTGGGATGGAGTAATCTCAGCCCAACATAGAATGGTGAGTTTCACAGTTCGCACAATGGCTTTCTAAATTAGTGTTGTAAAAGACTGTTAACTTCCATTTTGAAATACATGTTCAGTACAATCCTTTATGGGTGTAAAGCTTTTTAAATGTTAAAGTGTCCCTGTTGGTAATAGATCAACATCAATATGGTGTAATTGTAAATTACAATTGTATAATCTTCTTAAGTATACAAGTCTATATGAATGAGGTCATTTGATGAGTTCACCTTCAGAAAGGAAATGCATCTATTTATCATGTTTTTGTTCATACCTTGATTTATGTCATAACCTTTTTAGCTCATATATTCAAGCATTAATTTCTGACAGGAGGATGTAGCTCACAACTGTTTGTCATCTGCAAAGTGTTGTGGTGAAGGAAGAAACTTTAATGTATTTTTTCACTTGTCGTGGAAATGGAACCCACCAAATCTAGAATATTATAGCTTCACACCACAACAAAGCTGGAATTTTAGGTGACACAAACATACTGCTGTATTTATAGGAAATTACAACTTTTTGCGGAGGGGAAAAGTGTTTATGAGTAACTACATCACACTCTTCTGCTCTAGATCACCAGTTTGTATATAGGTGATGCTACCAATGATCAGAATTATTATCTGTGTTCTCTTCAGTAGCCTAAATTATTTTACAGTTGTAATTCTGTCTCTTCATCCCCAAAACTCTTCAATAAATGAGCAGACTGAATGAAGACTGAATGGGCATAACATCTCAGTCAATTTATTTTCTTTGCATGTGTTCCTCAGAAACAGAATTAAGGTACGTAGAGCAGCCAGAGTCTCCATAAAATGACTTTCACAGACATTAAATTCACACAGTTAGTTTAAAAAGAATACCCTGCCTTTTTATAAAATTTCTTCTGTATTTTTATTAAATGCCTATGAGCAGATTTTTTTCAGCAGGTCTTTATTTTTATTTTTCCGCATGAACTAGCAACATTCAATAAGGTTAAAAAAAATGTAGATTTTTTTTTACAACACTAGCAATAATGAACTTATTTTAAATTTGACTAGAAATAATAATTCTTACTCATTAATCAACGTAGATACTGGATTCTTCATACATATTGTGAAGCCTGGAATTAATTAAATAATAGCACTACAATAATATCTATTTTCTTAATATAATGTTTGGGCTTTTTTTCTTTCTAAAATCCAACTGATTAAAAAGATCAAACCAAACCAGAAAGATGAAGATGCTACCTAATCTGTAACGCACAGTTTAAGCCGGTGCATAACTTTCTGTCAGGCCTAAAATATTCCTGGGTGTTTGGGCAGCTGTCATGAAGAAGGCAAAATTTCAGCCGTAAAAATGGCTGGTAATTTGGCGAGGTAGGTTTTAAGTTATACATACAATTTCTATGCAGAATTCTCAGATGGAACCTCATTTTGGATGGAGAGTCACTCTTCTGCCTAAGTCATGTGATAAGCACATCAGAATGATTTTAACTTCTATGTTATCAGAAGGACAAGCTGGGTGCAGACTAGAAAGGATTGATCAAGTTCGTTGATGGAAAAAATAAATCTGTGAATTCATCAGCTACTTTTCTATTCATTCAGAGGGGCATGTGCACTCTGGGAATTTCAGTCTTAGGCCATCAATAACATTGATAACATGATTCTGTGTCCTAGAAAGAAAGGAACTCCTAGCTTCTAGGAGTCCACCACAGCATTTGGTTTTGGTTCAGGCTGGTGCTTGGATGTGGGGTAACATTTAAGCCAGAATGATAAACCATCTTGCAGTACGATTGTTTGTACTCATTTGTATTGCTCTGAAGTGGTTTTACATTTACAGCAACAGAGTGCAATCTCTGCTTGCTTTCTTAATGCTGTACTATCATGTCAACACTTGCTGTACCTCTGGACAGGCATTAATCAATACCCAGCTTATCGTGTTTCAGAACAGGTGCATAAACTTTGCTTGAGTGACTTAGCACTCTGTTTTTCTCTCTCCTTTTCCCAGTAAATATTCCATCATATGTGTAAATGAATGTCCTGAAAATCATTAGGAATTTCCACAGCTCCCTTGGGTTAAATCTGGTGGTGGTTGTATATCGTCCTTATTTAGGTAGCTCTCAGCTAAGTCAAACAGATTTCCACCCCCCCCCCCCCTCCCTGCAGCTCTAAGCTGGGTATAGTTTACAAGGCTTGGCTAGAAATGAAAACTGAAGTTCCAAGGCGTGCTGTTTGGTTGCAGTCAAAAGAGACTTAAAACATGCAGAGCAAGGTCCCAGTGTATTTACAGTTTAGGTGAGTTAAATGACTAGTTAGATCACAACAGTGAAGTGGTGACAATTTTTTTTCTCCTTGAGAAACTGTCATTTAGGGTAACTTGTTTGATGTTTTTTTTCCTCCCTTACTTATGTCCTTCATGAGCAAACCTTTAAGCCTTTATTAATTGCATAAAGTTTCTCTGAAACACCTCAGTCTGCAAGCAGGCATCAATATTACTAAGAAAGAATTCAGAAGCATCTGCAATTTTCCTGATGAAGGCAATTTCATACTCCTTTAAGGGAGGATAGGAGTTTCCTTACAGAAAGACAAATTCCAGAAGGTGGGTCAGGCAAATATGAGATAGGTGCTGTGGTAGTGACTGCTTTTCTACTCAATAAAATCAAATTCCCAGAAGGTAAGCACTTACTGACCTTTCCCAGATGGGTCCTTTCAAAGCAGATTTGAAGAAGCACCTGCTCATACCATTTACACTGAAAGTAAAGACAGTAATGCTGTCATTAAAATGCATCAATAATGTGTATTGTCTGGTTATAAGATAGTAAATTCAAAGAATGCTGTTTCCTCCTCATACTCAAAGAATTTGGGGAGGAAAAAGTTTCTCTTTTTTGTGGTATCTAATTAAGGATACAATCCTGCATCCTTTGTGCTCTTAAAACTACTAAGCAGTTCACTGGAATTTTTGAGAGCACACAGTATGCATCATAACACGGTACGAGGGTTGTACAGATCTTAAGTGAAAAAAAGATACTGTAGGAGGGCAATTTTCCTGAAAAAAAAATTAAAAATTGAGATTTTTCCTAACATTTATAATATGCAGCACTTTCTGTAACGTAAGATACCTTGAAACTACATTGTGTATTATCAGAAAAAAACCACACTGGCTAGAAATGTTTTCAAACTTTCACTCCCTTTGATATGAGGCATTGCTTTCCACTGAGTCCTTTGTGTATTCTGAATGTCTGGAAGCCAAAATATTTTGTTTTAACTCCCACTCTATAGTATTTCCCAGCTGTGTACTTATATGGTGTAATAAAAGGATTTAACAAATGAGAAATAGCAGCTGCATTTGGAAATTCCCTTTGTGCTCCCTTTTCATTTGACAGCTTCAGCAATGTATAACAACTGTAACATCAGACCTGTAATGACTTATATACTGTATCGTATCACCAGCCAATTTGATGTTACAGTGGGGAGAAGATAAAACAACCAAAAGATTTCTGTAATTTCATATTGCTGAGCTGAAATAGTTATATTTATACTTCTAACTGTAACTTAATATAAAAATACCTGGACGTATGCGTATTTATTGCTGCCTGTAATCCTACTAGAAAATGAAATCGATTTTAGACCAAGGATATACCTGTTTGCTGCAGTAAACTGAAAGGAAGAGGGCAAAATGGTAGTAAGATAATGAGGAAAGTATCCTGCTTTCTCCTGTGGACAGTGAGTAGCAGGCAAGAAATAGAGTAAAATTTTTAGTTTGCATCCAAAACCTGGGTCTCTTGGGGCAACGGACAGAGAGGACACGGGGGAAAGCCAATAATACTTACTTCTGCTAAATTAAATAGTAACTGAATTGTTATATCCCAATAATGTATTTACTAGTGGAGACTATGGAGAATCATAATTTGTGCTTTGTTTGCTGGGGAACCAGGATGGTCCCCACCTTCATACAGAGCCTCACACATCTTGTGAGGTAAATTTTGAAGATTTTTTTATTTTTGCTCTGAAGTATCAGGAGAAAGCAATGCCAACAACAAGATAATAATGAGATGGACAAGTGCCCTGCTCTTCTTTGAGGAGTAAGCTGGTGACTTCCCATGGCTGTAAGGGCGATTTGTGAGTCTTGTGGAAAATGCATTTGAGCAGCTTTAACCTAATGTAATCTGTAATCTTTCTCCAAAATGCAGAATTCCCCCACCCCCACCCAGAAGCAGCAAACTGTTTCCATGCCCAATACTGTTACCCGATATAACTATCTGGTAACAGACAGGGTTTTGAAAGAACTGACGGGTGCTGTGTTGACCACTATACATGATGATATCGCTGTGATGGTCACTGTACTCTTTTTTTTTTCCCCAGTGATGTTCCTCACCTCCCCACTACTGTAGGGGGTATATGGACAGCATGTGTGTGCGCAGAATTAGGGCACCCACATCTTTTTGCTCTGCTGTTACTTGGAATGATGCAGTGAGAGACTGTTACCTGGAACCACAGCAGCAAGTCAAATCTAAAGGGTGGGTGTTATTTCACTGGGACTGAGGAAACCCAGGCACATATAAATACTCAAATTCGAGTTAGTTACCTCCAAATATATGCTTTGTTTCCCTATAATTTTGTAAGATCATTCAGAGACCCCTTGGATTTAGAATGAAATGTATCTCACTGGATTTTATCTCAAATAGCAACATCGACATATATTTCATAATTATGTCAAGTCTCTGTCTTTTCTTGTCTTCTTACCTTTCCACTGTGTCCGCCTGTACAGCTCAGAAGTACTGATAGCAGATTTGTATATACAGCAGGAAAAGTGAAGATCCCTTAACGCCACATGTATCTGTTTCTTTTAAAATAATTTTAGATCTCCAAGTATCAAATTTAACTTTGTATAGGTTTAGCAAAACTGCTGACATCAGGAAGGGAGAAATAGGTGGTATCCTGAAGGTCATAATGTTTCAGTGCTTATTGTCTCTACATAAAACAAGCACAACCTTGTCACCCCCTTCCCCCCCCCACCTCTCCT